ATTAATATATATATTCTAACTATTTGGTCACTTTGGAATAAGAGGGTTGGTGTTCCTTAAAACCAGTCCCTGCCTTGATCATCTAGTGGGAGCCTGTGTGTTTGTGGGTACTGTGGTGCCTCGCTTAACGGGCACCCTGTTTAACGACGAATCCGCATAGAGATGAAGATTTTGCGATTGCTTATGCGATCGCATTGCGATGTTCCCTATGGGGAAAAATCATTTTGCGATTTTTCCCCATACGCCCCATTTTTGCCCAGCTGATTGGCGGGGCTTTGGGATGATGAAGCCCTGCCGATCAGCTGGGCAAAAATGGGGCATTTGCAATGATCGCGTGGAAGTGATCAACGCAAACGCCCCATTTTTGCACAGCTGATCGGCGGTTCCAAAATAGCTGCCGGGTAAATAAATGGTCGCCCGCTGTGTTTTTGCACCCTTTCCTCTCTTACCGGGCAGCGAAAATGGCGGCCAGATGGAGGATTTTCGCTTAAACGTGTTTTAATGCATTCCTATGGGCTTTTTTGCCCCACATAGCGACGAATCCGTATAGCGACAATTTTTTTGGAACGGATTATCGTCGCTGTGGCATACAGCTCTGCTCTCACCTGTCCGTCACAAGGGAACCTCAGCCAATGAGAGGACGGAGGATGGTGCAGAAGTGGGAGGAGCTGGGTTATATAAGGTGTGTGATGTGTGAGAAGAGTTCAGATTCAGATTGAGAGATGAGTGATTAGAGAGATTGATAGAAAGTGAGAAAAAGCCTGTCAGTGAGGGAAAAGTCTGTGTGAGCTAGTGTCTTATAAACAGTGATTCACAACTTGATTTTATAGCTGTGATTTACTCTTTTATTTTGTGTAATCAATAAACACTTTATTTGTTTTGAAAGAAACACTTGTCCTTTTCAGTTTTAAGGATAGGTTGGTGGCAGCAGTTTTGGTGAAAGGTGGTGAGCACTCTTAGGGGCCTGGATGGGTAGAGGCATGAGAGTGGCCTGCTACAGTCGCTATGCGGGGCACCACTGTATTTTTGTTATTCCTACCTTGCAAGGTTGGCATAAGAATCAAGGTGCTTAAACTTGTGGATTTTTGTTAACTCCCTGGGACTAATGTGTCAGGAGGATATTGGGCAGGAAGACTTACCCCAGCCATTCAGCCCTTCTGGATTTTATCCACACCAGAAAAGTTAAGGTAGTGTGGTTGAATGATTAGTGCAGACCTCTCTGACTCAGCACAATCTTGACAAGGTATGTAATCTCAACCACATGATGTGAAGGAAGGAACATCACTACAATAACTTTGTTTTCCTCAGACATAAAAATTTATTACTAAAAAGTATTATTCTTATTGCTAATTTCAGCTAAAGAGCAGACCCACTGAATCAACTGTTGCATGCTATGTCAACACTT